GAGTGCTCTAGGCTTAGTATAACCTAGATATGAGTCTTAGGAAGGGTTACAAAGAGTGTATCATCAAGAAATCGGGCCAAACACACCCAACAAGGTGTGTGCGGCCGCACACCCGTATGTGCGGCCAGCCAGCCGCACACCCCAACCGCACACCCCAGCCGCACACACACTCAGCCTCACACTCAGCCCTATATATTAGACCCTAAGCCAACCTTACACCCTTTTCCACTCTCTCTCTCAAGTCCAGAAGTCGTTCCTCTCAAGATCCGCCGAGGTTGCCCTCTAAATCGTCCAAACAAGTAAGTTTACATCCTTAGATCTTTGATTCATCACCTTAGCAAACATTCCTCTTGAAAATGATCCATGAAATCATCATTTTCGATGATGAACAGGTGTGTACGGCCAGCCAGGCGCACACACATCTTCTGGCCTTCAAAATGGTCGTAAACTCATATCCAGGCTTAGAGTCGGCCAAAACACCACCTTAGGATCATCACCAAGCTTAGGAAAATCGGTTTTGGACACTTTCCATGGGAGTGTATGGCCGCACACACTCCTGGCCGCACACTCCTGGCCGCATACACTGTACAGCCGCACACAGGGCCGCACACTTCCAAAACTTCGGGTTTGGTAGCCTTACACTCCAATCTAAAGCCATACACTCATTTGGGGACTTCCTATGTGTTAGAGACACTTGATTCTAACTGTTCCTAAGTCCCTGTAGTGTTATCCTATGTCCAATAGTGTGTTATACCCTAAGTGTATTCATATATGTGCGCTCGCATGTCAACCAGGATCCATTTGTACTCGCGACTTCATTCGACACCCGACGATTCGATAACGATCTTTCATCCAAGTCATTCACCTCAGGTGAGTTCATACCGCTTAAATCAACCTTTCAAATGATTTTAGATGCTTTTATTGGGGGGAATACAAGTTGAATAATTTAGTTATTATATCAATCGCATATGATTAATAACTGTTAATCAAATTGATATGTTTTACATGTTAAACTGTTTTATCGAATTAAAGGTTTTTCAAAGTGTTTTTCAGTCTCTTCTTAAATTACTAAACTTTTGTCAAAGTCTTTTAAACTTATGTTTTTGTTAAATTCATGTCTATACAGATATACTTATATAAATAGGGTTTGAAGGGCTTACGACTGATAACTCACTCTATTTCTTGTTCCTTGTGTTGGTTGTGGACTTAGAGTACCAGGTTATTTGTCCGAAGGTCGTTGAAATTCTAGTTATATATTATGTATATGTGTGTAGATGTTAGAACTCTTACTCCCAGTTCAATACCTTTGGGTAGCAAAGGTACCTAGTTAACATTTCGAGTAAACTATAATAGGTATAATTTAGGGTATCCATCGAGAAATTTTATGAAGAGAAACTAGTTATATCTATATTCTAAAAACATATAGCCTTAGTAAAAAGAAACGTATATAGCAATTAGAGCACGAGATACATCCTCATGACAAGGATTTCACCGTTGTCGAGTTGGTAACCAGAGTCTCCTGTAGGGAGAGTGGGCATTGTGTGTATAGATCTATACGGGACAGACCATCCCACATCCTGACTGCTAGCTACAGTCCCGGCCGACCAAGCCAAGGGGTGACAAATGTCACATTTATTTCGACGTCAGCAGATCGTCGTGTTTACATCCGTCAATCAGTATGGTTACGAGTATCTTCGCATTTACCATATAATTCATGGCCTTAAGGTAATTAGTACCACAGTAGTCTATACATATAAAACTACGGTACTATGATATTTTCCCTAATACATTTATCTTGGAACGTTTTTGACATAAAACGATAATGTAAAACTATATTTTGATAATGACAGTAACATTTGGGAAAAATGCTCTTTTATACAAAACCTGGAGTCTTGGTAGAAGACTGCCTACACCCATTTTATACAAAACCTGGAGTCTTGGTAGAAGACTGCCTACACCCATTTTATTCAAAACCTAGAGTCTTTGTAGAAGATTGCTTGTACCCTTTTTACACAACGTAGAGTCTCGATAGAAGACTTCTTTTAGTAGAAAACACCTTCCTTTTTCATAAACAGTCAAGTATTGATAGAAGACTACTTTTAATAGACAACTTATTCTTTGAAACAGGAAACTGTTGAGTCTTGGTAGAAGACTGTTTTTATTAAGAAACTAAAGGTTTTCGGAAGGTTTACAAATAATTTTCTACACTTTTATCCAAATCCTTTAATGAGATTATTTTAAGTAAAATTTATGTATTTACATCAAAGTCACTAAAATACTTATGAACTCACCAGCATTAAACATGTTGATACTCTCTTTCAAAATAACTTGTATTCTAAGGAAATCCAGTAGATAGGTACACTCCCGGAGCTTTCGCGAAGTCAGCCTTGTACCAAGTTGCATTTATGTTATTTTGTATATCTACTTTTGATGTTGTATGCTAAATGAGTAACATATGTAAAACTTATACTATTAATGCAATGGTTGTTGTACTTTGATTTACTATATTGCATGTGTTGTGATACTTGACATGACGTCCTCCACCCCTGAATGTTTCCGCCAATTGGGTTTGGGGATGTGACACTCAGACCCGCGATGAGAATACAGCTTAACACTCGGAATGATTTTGATCTCATGGATTTTGATCAAATATTCCAACTAAAGTTTATATGTGCATAGATCCTATCACAACTAGGTGTAGGTACGCAACTACATTTTATTATGATCAGATCATATGGACTATTTAAATTGGAAGTGATATTTGGTAGACTAAACACTTGATATTCCAAATCATATAGGAATTCATCATGTCTTATCCAAGAGAATGGATAATAATTGAAGATATGGATGATGAAGAAGTTTCACTCCTATTGTTAGTAGGCGATCCTTACAACCCCATAAATCTAGCTATTTTCAACCCGATACCTTCAGATGATGGAGCACCTTTACCTTCCAATGATTGGGAAGAGAGCGAGCCAATGGAAGAAAGTGAGCCTATGGAAGAGACAGAATCAGTGGCATCTTCCGTACCGCCAATGAATACTCTTTACCGCCAAGTACCAGGAGGAGCGAAGATGAAATGAACAGCTCGTAATACCAGTGTGGAAGAAGATTGAGAAAAGCCTAAGAGGGAAATCATCGATACCCATAGAATTCAAGATGAACCTGCGAGGAATGCACAAACTGTTGACCGGTGGGTGGCAGAAGAAAGAGCTGCTCAAATGTATGAGACTGGTCAATCATCCCGACCACATCCCCCACATTCTTCCGAAGATAACACCTTGTCTCAATTATTTGAGAAAAGTGTAAGAATAGAAGATAAAATGGAGATCATCGAAGAAAGGAATACCTACATCTTAGGAAGGGTGCGAAGGCTAGAAGGCCAAAGAACGCGAGATCAAGAGTCAGTGATGGATGTTCATCACCACATCAACTTCGCTTACAACGATATGATCAATCACGATGCAAGGATTGCAGAGCTAGAGCTCTACAATCAAACCTCAAGAAATGAGGAGCGCACTGGAGAGCTTGAACATAGGCAACATGCACTTGAGGAGCATGTGGTTCATGTCTCTGACGTGCTAGGTCATCACCTAGGGTGCTGGTAGACAAAAGAGGAACTGATGGTTGTGTAAATATAGAAAATCAAACTAGATAAGGAAAAAAGAGTAAAGTTTAGAGCGAGGGTGTAATAAACCTTGCAAGTTTTACAATGTTTATAGAAACTTTTCTCTTATAAGCCTAAATAAACTGATGAAACCGCTGATGATAATATGAAGCATATATTATAGTAATTATTGTGTCATCTCCTATGTTTTAAGCTTTGAAGAATTATTTAAGTGTTTAAAATATTTCATAAAACTCATAATATTCTTAAAACATTTATAATAGGCACTAAAACAAAATGCCTAGAAGGAGTAGCGCACGATTAAACGTTAACCAACGACCAGAACCACAACAACAACCACCAATACAAGAAACCAACCCTCCAATAAATGCAGTAGAACTAGAAGATATTATAGCCCAGAGGATCGCTGTGGCTTTATCTAACCAAACAACTGGTGGAATAAGAAGTGAAGCCAACACCAGAATATGCACTTACAAGGATTTTATGAACTGCAAACCTAAGAGCTTCCACGGAACAGAAGGGGTTGTTAACTTGACCCGGTGGATTGAGAAGGTAGAATCTGTATTCCAGATAAGCTTCTGTCCAGACGACTGGAAGGTACGATTTGCTGCGTGTACCTTTGCTGATGCGGCGCTAACATGGTGGAACAACCATGTTAATACAATGGGGATTGATGTTGCAAACTCCATGAAATGGGAGGATTTAAAGAGGATACTAGTAGTGGAGTATTGTCCTCAAGAGGAAATACAAAAGCTGGAATAGGAGTTATGGAACCTAACGATGAAGGGTTCCGAGATAAATACTTACACTGCTAGATTCAATGATCTTGCGGTAATATGTCCAACATTAGTAACTCCCGAATATAAGAAGATCGAGCGATATATCTGTAACACCCTATTTATTTAATTAATAAATAAATAAATTAATGAACGAATAGAAGCCCTAAAATAAATAATTATATATCAAATGATGGTCTCGTACAGCTAATTTGTCACACTTTAAGAGATTGGGGGTTAGAAGTGTAAAATCCGGACTTAATTTTTAAGTATTAATGAAGGCAGGGACTAAATGGTAGCTTCTGGGACTTAAATTGAAGAGATTTTGGAGGCTCAGGGGCTGAATGGTAATATATGGATTTCTGTTGAAAAGAATTTGTAGAGGAAGGACTGCATAGTAATTATCGGGACATGATTTGTAAGGGTTTTCTGAAGGAAAGGTTAGAAATGTAAACTATGGATCTATTTTGAATTAAATTAGAGCTGGAAGGACCATTTGGGTCATTATGGCAAACTAGTGTGAGGAGCCGGTATTTAAGGGTTATGAAACCCTAACCCTAGTCTTATTGTTCAGCCGTGACTCCCCTTTGTGACTCTCACCGGCGCCACCTCCCCACCGCTCCCTCTCCAGCCACCGCCACCTTCCACCATGTCGATTTCCAACCGCCGAGCACCACCGATTGTTGTTGATAACCGCCTGAGTTGAAAGTGCAGCTGCATCGGCGAAGATCAAAGGCGTGGCGTCGTGGTGGCCGCCATTCGTGCTCCTCCCTCACCTCCTTTCCTGCCGCTGTGGTTGCTGCTGCTCGAAGATGTGCCCATTGCCGGACGTTGTAGCGGGCTATACAGGAGCCACTGCCGCCATCTCTTCGTCTTCACTTCTTTCTGCTAGCCCCGCCTACCGACAAGCGCCCTTACTGTAACCGCCGCCTGCCGCCTTTGTTGTTACTTGCGTTGGAACCATCGGAAATCGCCGCCACCACCTCGTGGTGGTGGCTGCCATCTCAGAATTTGCTGCTGCCGGATGCCATGGGGTTGTTGCCACCGATCTACCCTATCCTGCCGCCCCTAGCCACCGTGAAAGGTGGCTGTGCGCGTGTTTTGGTGCGTGTGTGGGAGTATTGCTGCTGTGAAAAGGTGTTGTATGGGTTGTTTGGCCGGAAACCATGAAAAAGGGCCACCACCACCAGTATCTACCACCACCGGCCACCATGAGGTGGTTGTGTGTGATTAGCTTAGTGGGTGTGTGTGTGTGTGTGTTAATTAGCAATTTTATTGTGAGATGTAATTAAGAATTGAGATAATAAAAGAAAATGAAAACCACCACCTTAGGGTGGTGGCTGCCGCCACCGGCCGCCGTGCCGGGTGACGGTGTGCTTGTCTTGTGAGTTTGATTCGTTTGGGGGTGCTTGAAACCCTGATGGGCCTTGTGAGCCCTAATGTGCCCAATGAAGTTTAATGGACTCTATTGGATCCCAATAAAACCCTAATGGGCTTAATGACATTCTAGTGGGCCAAGTAGGCCCAATAAAGCCCTAATTGACCTAAAAGCCCAACAAATTGACATATGGGCTAGTAATTGGGTTGGAAACCCTAATTAGGGATTGGAAAACCCTAGTGCCAATTAAACCCTAATTTTGAGAATTAATCGGGACGCACATTGGAATTATTTAATAACTTGGAATATTAAATAATAATTATTGGCAAAGATTAATCTAAGTAATATTGGACTTAATGGATTAAGTCCTTAGAGGATTTAGTCCTTAATGGGTTAAGTAGGAAACGTAACCCTAATGATCATTTTATGCGAAAACCCTAATTTCATTTGGGTTTATTATTGGGCTTTTCAATTGGGCCTTGATGATTGGATTAGTAATGGGCCATCCAAGATCAAGCAAATGGTCTAGAATAATTTAATGGGCCTAGGTAAGGCCCATGTAAGTGGTTTGGGCCCAATTTGGAAAATTGGGCCATAGATGGGCCACAGGTTGGGCCTTAATGATTATATGAGGTTGGGCCTTAGCATAAGACCATATATATACGCTTGGGCCCAATTTGGAAAATTGGGCCATATGTTGGGCTTCGATTCCCAATTAACTTTGGGCCTATGGATTGGGCCTTGGGCTTGAATAAGCCAAACTTGGGGTAATGTAGTAGTTATCCAAAGTATGTAATTATGGTTATGTGGTGGGACCCAATTATTAATTGGGTGATGTTTTGATATTGACAGATCGGGAATCTGTCATCCAACAGCTGGGGTCGAGTCTGCGGGACTTCAGCAGTGTGGGGTTGAGTCTACGGGACTTCAGCAGTGCGTGGTGAGTTACCTTCCAGTAGAAGTGGGTCTAAGGCCACAATGCCGGCCCACTAGTAGGAGCTGTATGATAGATGATTGTCTTTGTGATAGTCATCTAGGTTGCTACTACCTGATATGTTTTATGTGTTAACATGATATGATGTTATATGATAGTAGTAGTAGGGGGAATAGTCCCCGGTTACCGGTCGATAGGGACGAAGGGTAGTTCAGTATCCAGCTATGCTAGACAGATTATGATATATGTGATATGGTATTATGTGGTAGTAGTAGGGGGTGAAATAGTCCCGAGAGATCGGTTGTGAGGACCGATGGGTATGTCAACACCCCAGAATGGCTTGACCTGGGTATGTCAAACACCCCAGAATGGTTTGACACAGGTATGTTAGCACCCCAGAATGGCTTGACATGGGTAGGTCGGGCACCCCAGAATTGCCTGGCAGTATGTATGCCATGTGATTGTATGGTATGTGGTATGATGGGGGAACTCACTAAGCTTCGTGCTTACGGTTTACAGTTTTGGTTTCAAGTGCTTTGTGTCAAAGAAAAGGAGCCGACTTTATCACAACGCATCACACTATGTTTTCCGCACACGAGCTCTTTGGGATTACACTCTGATATGGTTTCATGATATTATATTTTGATTACTAACACTTTGGTTTTGACATGAGACATTATTATGAATGTTTTTATACTAATGGTTTTATGTATTATTTAAAAATGAAATTTTTGGCCTTGAATTTTGGGATGTTACAAGTTGGTATCAGAGCCTTGGTTTGAGGGATTCGGGCACACACTCGGGTGTGTCTGATCTCACACTAAGGACTTGGTATGAAAATTTTCAAAAGTAAGATCATTTTATAAAAGAAGTTTGAAAAGAATTTGAAAAGAGAACATAACTTTGAAAAGAACAAAGTGTGTGATGCGTGCAATCAGCCGACCTCAAGTAAGTTTTCCCCAAGATACCCATACATGTTATGATATGTTACGATATGATATGATTATGAGAACTGCATGCTAGATTAGGGCTGAGGAACTATGAGGATGCCTTATATGCCTATTGTATGTGCTTGTAGACTTGCATGCTAGTACTGATTAGTCAGTGATAGGATAGCCTGTTTAGGTTATGCCTGATTGTATGAACCTTGAATTGCATGTATAGATCCCTGAGTAGAGGATAGATTGATCTGATTGGAATATGTTGGTTAGATTTTCCATTGTCTGAATGCTGCTTGCTTTGTGCTTTAAGGGACTCTTAGTAATGTGAGCTAGCTACTAAGTGAATATGCTAAGTCGCGAATGGCTATATTCATGAGGTAGCTAGTTGACATTAGTGGGAAGTCCTTTAGCAGCTGAGGACTGGGTGAGTTCGGGAACCTAGGAAAGCCTAGGAAGTGCTTTAGTGGGTTTGGTTGTGCTGTTAGCGAGAATTCAGAGTACCAGTTTGAGGAGGTGACTTGGAGGATCCGGGAGGATTGCTGAGGAAAGTCTGGATAGGTGTGGAAGGTAGTATTGGGCCCGTACTACTGAAAGCACAGGATCCATACTCGAATCAGTGAGAGTCTTGGAGAATCTGAGAAGCTTTAGGGGAAGAGGTTGTGACCCGGTTTGGGGGCAGAGGATGTTTTAGTTGTTGCAGCTTAGCCATTAGCAAGTAAGCTTGTGAGCATGGCATGGTGTCAGACCCTGAAGAATATGACTTCCAAGAGTTGTAAATGCGACATTGGGTTGGAGCGCCCTGGGAAGAGAGGGTTATGCCAGGTGCGTATAGTAGAGGGTCCAGGGAAGAGACCCATGACTTATGATCATCAGGTGAAAGGCCAGCAGGGCTGGAGTCAGTGCAGCATGTACGGGAAAGTACACAAGGGGAGTTCGTTGCTCCAAGGGTTAGGTTGCTACAGGGTAGCAGGGTTAGTCATGTCAGCAGAAGGCGGTAATGACTCTTGGATATATTCGAGTCCTGGGAATGTCAGTTAGTATGGTGTTAAGCACCCAAGAGAGAGATTCAGATTCTGGTTCCAGCTTAGGATCAGGGCCTAGGCCAGGTAGTGTGTGAACACAGGAGTTTATCTCATTAGAGATTACTTACGAAGCTATGGAAATGGACCTTGGTGGTCTTTCGTTCAGCCAAGGAAGGACTTTGGGAACTCTCGGTAGTCGTCTCGGGGCCTTTTGGGACAGATTTGTCGTGAGGAAGTTAGGGGTTCATTTGGAACCCAAGGTTTGTGGATCCTTAGGATCCTTCGGGAAGGAAGATCCTGTAGTTAGTTCCTGTTATCAGGATCATGATTTCGTCAAATGTTCACGGGTATGTGTCTTTCTGCTACGTCCGAGTGGATAATGGGAATCTGTATCGCTTCAGAATTGTGAGTGAGATTGGATAAGTCAGATCTCGGGTTAGTTTTCTGCTGGTGGTTGGGTTATCAAGGATCATATATGCCATCCCGCATTCCGGAAAAAAAAAATCCTTGATGAACCTACAGATGGATGTATCTTGCGGAGTGGATTCTGTTGGATTAGTGTCTAACTCCATAACTATTTTGGTATGTACTTGACCCGATTATGAGCATGGTCCTTTTAGGTTGCCTTCACCATAACAATATGTAGGATGAATTAAGGAGAGAAAGGTTTAATCATGATTTATTAATATATTATAAGAATAATATATTAAAGGAGAAATCATAATGTTTAATTAATATTAGTCAAGAGTTAATTTTGTGGCTAAAAGAGATTAATTAAACTTAGGGGACTGGATTTGTAATTATAAGATAATTGCAATTGGGCTTTGGATTTCCTAATAATATATAGGTTGGACGAATTCTATGGGGAAGCTCATTAGAAATCGTCCAAGGGATATGTTAAAGGAGTCCATGGGCTGCTTAGGGCTTAAGCAGTCAGATTAGGGTTTCCTAGTTGAAAACCCTAATAGCCTACATGTATATAAAGACCCGTAAGGCCCCAAAAACGTGGCTAATAGTTCCTCTAGGGTTTCTAGACGTTTTGGGCAGCCTCCATCTCTTCTCCCTTCATCCAATTGCTTAGTGGTGTTTGTGACTCCATTAGAGGTGCAACATTTGAGGCACTAAGCTTTTTAAAGCCAATCAAAGCAAGGATTGATTGTTATTGCTATATAACAATCAAAGGTAATTCTTTAAACCTTATTTCAGTTCTTATTGTGATAGATTAGGGTTTATGGCTTTGGATAATCAATTGCATGTTTATTAGACAAACTAGATCCAAAGCTATTAGGGTTTGCATGTACACCATAGGATTGATGTAGTGCTCAAAACCCAACAGTGGTATCAGAGCCTAGGCTGTTTGTTTGATGAATTTGATGCAAAATTGAACGAAATTAAGCTGAAAAACGAAAAATTTGACTTTTTTGTGCTTGACTTGCCGAGTCACTTGGTGAACTCGCCGAGTCCACTGAACTCGACGAGTCCAGGCCTGACTCGACAAGTCAGAGAGGCTGGCAGCAGATATTTCGCGATTTTCTTGCCTATTTTGTTGTGGGATAATTACCAAAACGTTTTTTATTGATAGAAATCGGATTTTTATTATATTGGGTGATTATCCTTGCCAAAATTGAAGATATTTTCATATTAATTAGATAATTATTTCCTTATATGATAAAATTTAATTATTTGAATTATTTGGTGAATTATCTTGCAAGAAAAGGACTAGGTCAA